TTTTTTTTTTTGCCTTCAACTGAGGAGAGAGCACAACTCTCTTTTGTTCTAATTTCCTTCTTTTCTTTCTTTTTTTCTTTTTTTTTTTTTGGTGATGGAGTTTTGCTCTATCCTCCCAGGCTGGAGTGCAGTGTCACAATGTCAGCTCACTGCAACCTCTGTTCCCTGGACTCAAGCAATCCTCCTGCCTCAGCTTCCCTGGGACTATAGGCATGTGCCACCATGCTCGGCTAATTTTTTTGTATTTTTGGTAGAGACGGGGTTTCACCACATTGCCCAGGCTGTTCTCGAACTTTCAAGTGATCCACTTGCCTTGGCCTCTCAAAGTTCTGGAATTACAGGCATGAGCCACCATGCCCCGCCTATGTTCTAATTTCCCATTGTCCAGATGCCACAGTATGTATCAAGTGAAGCCTTCCTTATTCCCATAATCAATTAATTATCCATTCTCTACAATATGCACCTGACTAAATTGTTTTATTGAGTGAGGTAGGGAATAAAATAATAAGAGCTTGCCTTTAACAAGTACCTACCATAGAATAGGCATTTTGATAAGTGGCTGACAAGCATAATCTCATTTTACCTCATAACACTGAAGTAGATGCTATTATTATCCCTGTTTTGCAGATGGAGGAATGAAAGCCCAAGAAGATTAAGTAATTTGCCCAAGTTCCCACACACAGTTTGTAAGTGGTAGAACCACGATTTAATTAATTTATTAACTTTTGAGACAGAGTCTCACTCTGTCACTCAGGCTGGCGTGCGATCATGTCTCACTGCAGCCTCGACCTCCTGAGTTCAGGAGATCCTCCTACTTCAGTGACCCCGGTAGTTGGGCCTATAGGTGCTCACTGTCATATGTGGCTAATTTAAAAATTTTTTGTAGAGGTCTTGGACTCCTGGGCCCAAGTGATCCTCCCACCTTGGCCTCCCAAATTGCTCAGATTACAGGTGTGAGCCACTGTGTCTGGCCAGACATCTTATTCTTACTAGCTTTGTATTATTCTGTCCTTTGAATTTTGAATGTCCTTTCCTGTTGTCCATTAGTTTTTCACACTGATTTTCAGTTTACAGTGCTCTTTTGTGCATATTACTCGAACTCTTCCCCAAGTCCCCTAAAGTTGCTATTAGTACTCATGTTTTCCAAATGAAGAAGCTGGTGAGTGCTCAGAAACACTGTATGATGAAAGCTCAAGTTAGAGATATCAGGTCATTTGGTTAAAGATGTGGTGGCCAGGCTGGGCAACATGGGGAAACTCCATCTCTACAAAAATAAATAAATAAATAAATAAAAACAAAAAAATAAAATTACCCAGGCATGCTATTGTACATCTGTAATCCCAGCTACTCAGGAGGCTGAGGCAGGAGAATCACTTAAACCCAGGAGGCAGAGGTTGTGAGATCGTGCCACTGCACTCCAGCCTGGGTGACAGAGCAAGACTCTGTCTCAAATAAACTGTTAAATAAATAAAGTAGTGGTGGATCTAAAATAAGGGCAAGGTAAGAAATTTTAAAAAGAAAATAAAGTATGGTGGAGCTAGGCCTTAAGTTCTGGTGTGCTAACTCCAAAGCTCACCCTTTCTTGACCATGTTCCAGGGCTCCTCCCCTAGTGCCCTGCCTCTCCTCAATCGGAGATTAGATCTCTACCATCAGTATACACGGCTCGGTCTTTGCACTCCCCCTTCACGGCTTGCACCTAAGGCACTTATTTAATTATGGGTAGATGTATACTCGCTGCTTACACGTGCACCTCTCCCTGTAATACGAGCCTCCTGAAGGCAGGGACAATAAGTCGTGTGGTTTGGAATTCCTTCTAGCGCCAGCACGGGGCTGGGGCCTGTACACGACTGATGTGAATGAAATGTAAGGAAAGCTTAGCGCTGCATCGCACCTCCCGAACACTATCGACAGGACAGGGTCTAGATCATCGCTATATCCTTTACGGCCTTCTGTTTTCCAGCTTTCTGCACAAAGTAGGAGCTCCACATCATTAAGCTTCAGTTTCTTGGCACCCAGGGACTAAGACAAAAACGAAAAAAGAAAAAACAAACTAACAAACTTCAGTTTCCCCACTTTTCTCGGAACGTAAAGCGAAAGGGGGAGGGACCGGCACGCAACTCCTCACCTGAGAGCTCAGCAGGTGCTTCAACTGCCTGACACGCAACTGTTGTTCAGATGCTACCGGACGTGCAACTGTTGTTCAGATGCTACCGGACAGCGGCAACTCCCGTGGTTACCTGGACAACCCGCCACGCAGCCGCAGCGACAGCCACTGACGCTTCTGCGACCCGAGCGCCACAAGCGTCGCAAGGTCACACGTAGCTTTGCGGCGAATCAAACAGAAAGTGCGCAAGCGCAGTGACATCTGGGGCGGGACCTTGAGAGGGCTTGATGAAGGCTCTTCTTGACCAATCCTGTCGCCGCATGCAAACCCAAGATCAAGCCCCGCCCACAAGCCTTCGGCCAGCCCTGGGTCCTACGTCATCGCGGTCCGTCTTGCTCCTTGTCATACCTGACTGTTGCTGAGTGCACTCTTTTAATCCTCACAACCCTGGAGGAAAGCTGGGCGATTGCTATGATAGGCCTTTTGCAGTTGACGGAATTGTGCCCAAACAGGTTAGTTACATGACTTGCACAAGATCGCAAGGCTAATAACTACAGTTAACCATTAATGCTCAGTATGTGTCTGCCAGGTGCTGTGCAAAGTGTTACACATGCATTTATGTCATTTAATCCCAAAACCGCCTTTTGAAGGGGATAGCGTTATTATTAGTCTCGTTTTACATAACAGGAGACTCAGGGCACTTGCTCAAACTAACACAGTCAGCAAAGGACTTGGAACTGGGATTCAACCCAGAGTTGGTAACTTTAAACACCTTTTATGTTCTTTCTCAACTCCTAGCTCGCTCTGTCCATGCCGTGTTACTATAACCTGTGACACTCCCATCCCAATAAAGGATGATATTTATTCTCAGAATCTGAGAGATGAGTGTTTTGGAACCAGCTGCCAGAGAAACGTAAGGTGCCCTACTTCCAAATTGGGTAATGGTGGGTTAAAGACTGCTGTTTACATTGGAATGCTTTTATGGTTCAGTTTTGAGGACAGACCAGACTTGGCTCACCTAATAGTTGTGTTGTGATACCTGGAATTGGAGATTGGTTAAGCAGAAAAGATATTGACTTGTTGATCTTTGTTTGGATTGGAGTTCTTTTCTGAATTTTTGGCCTATCTTCTAACATACCAGAGATATTGAAATGCAGAAAAGGAGTTACTCATAAGCCTGCTCTGAAATGATCCAAAGCTGGGAAGATCTGTTAACTCTCCAGAAAGCATAACATATGCTCTCTAGAGAGATTGTGGGTCCAGAAGCCTTCCCCCACAGTGGTTGCAAATATCAACAGGTGTTTGTCTCATGGCCACCAACCACCCCTTAGAAAATAGGAAAGAGTATTCCATGGTGTATATGTGCCACATTTTCCCTGTCCAGTCTATCATCAATGGGCATTTGGGTTGGTTCCAGGTCTTTGCTATTGTAAACAGTACTGCAATGAACATTCGTGTGCATGTGTCCTTACAGTAGAACGATTTATAATCCTTTGGATATATACTCAGTAATGGGATTCCTGGGTCAAATGGAATTTCTATTTCTAGGTCCTTGAGGAATCGCCACACTGTCTTCCACAATGGTTGAACTGATTCACACTCCCACCAACAGTATAAAAGTGTTCCTATTTCTCCACATCCTCTCCAGCGTCTGTTGTCTCCAGCTTTTTAATGATCGCCATTCTAACTGGCAAGAGATGGTATCTCAATGTGGTTTTGATTTGCATTTCTCTAATGACCAGTGATGATGAGCATTTTTTCATATGTTTGTTGGCCTCATGTGCAATTAAAAAAAAAAAACAGTAAAGAGTAGAGGACAGCCCCTATTTTCACAGGAAAGAAGTAGGCCTCAAAGCTTAAATGATAATTCTTTTGACAGGGGAGTCCCAACCCCTCAGTTTTATTTTCAGAATCCTCCTCTGTTGCTTATAGCCACTACTAGAAATAGTGAAAGAAAAAAAAAGAAAGAGAAAAAAGAAAAAAAGAGATTCCTCCTCTGGATATGGTGGCAGAGCATGAATATAAACTCATTTATGATTTACAGTTATTATTGACTTTGACTAAACAGAGACAGAGAGGAAAGGGAATGCAAAGGAGGGAGGAACAGACACAGGAACACATAGGATAGGAGCATGTGGCACCAGGAATCCACGAGAGTAGCTGTCGGTTCATTAGTCCCCAAGACACTGCTTAGTCCTTATCTGACCATTAGCCCAGGGTTGATGGAGGAGTCAGAAGAATAAGTGGTGAGGAGCTGTGCTGTTGATGCGAGCAGTGAAGATACAAAAACTACTGCCCTCTCATATGACATGCCTTAGTTTCCAGTGGTCCCGGAACTTACATCTTTCTCTTGTCTTTTTCCCCTTCTCACCCAACAGAGCAACAGAATCTGGGGTTCTAGTTTTCTACACCTCTTCTTCCTGGTCCCTATCCCAGGGTGGAGTGTTATTACACCTTGCAATGAGAATCTGCTCCTGTCAAGTAGGTGGTGGCCCTTGGAGGGTGAGGAGAGAGACGAGGTGAGGAAATGTCTTCAGCATACTATACAGTCAGCTCCGGTTTGCCCAAGAACCTTTATTGGAAAAATGTCCAAGGAGTGAGATCACTGGCAGCTGAAGGGGCTGCCAGGTCAGGGGGGAGCACCTGAGGCTCCATGGAAGACATTGGAGTAGTGCAGTGCAATATCTGCCTCTAGGCTGCGACAATTCCTTTTGTTTGCTGGGGAAAGAGGAGTACTCACAGAAACACGGCTCTCTGAGGCCCAGAGGCAAGATGTGGAGGCAGCTGGGGCTGCTGAGAGTCCTGATACAGGTGGAATGGGGCCCCCATTTGGGACCTAATGGGATAGGGTAGAACAAGTGACTCTCCCCTGGACCAGGGGATGGGAGGAGATATCCCAACTGATATCTGCTCCCCAGGTCCAGGGGCACAGACTCTTAACAGACTGGCTCTGCTCACAGTGGAAAGAGGATGGGTTCCAGGCCTGAGATTGTGGGCATGTCATTACCCTCTAGGAGTCTCAGGCAGATCTTCATCTTGGGCTTTCCCTGACCCCACCCCATCCCCAAGTTGTTAGTGCAGCTCTCTTCTGGGTGTGTTTCTTCCCTCAAACGTCGATGGTGTTGATGGATGGTGACTTTTTCTGTGAAAGAAAATGGTCTGAGTCTCAGTTTCAGGAAGGTAATAGGTGCTGCCCTTTCTCTCCAGCCTCCCTCATCCCAGGTCTTCCATTTTCATCTTTTTCTGCCCCTCTTTGACCTTCTTCCTTTCCCTGGCTGCCCCTCAGGGGCAAAAGCATCCTTTCCGCGCTCACTGGCCCCCACATCACCTGTCTTGTCCCCACTGGCCTTCCCTGAGGACTCTGTTCTGGCCGGTTTCCCTTCTCCTTGGGATTGTTGTTGGAGTCGTTGTCCTTGATGATGTCATACTGACGGCAGAACAGCCCAATTACAGCTGAAACACAATACAGTCTGAGCTTTCATCTCCCCCAACAGGGAGATACCCACATAGCTTCTAGAAAAATCCGTGAAGAACATCCTGAATTCCTGGTGCCCAATGCAGTCATCCTCTCTGGGCTCTCAACAGCCTCCTCTCCCTCTCTTCAAACTTTGAATCATCCCTCCTCAACTGAGTATCTCCCCACTCCATATCTTTCACTTCTCTTTTTTTTTTCTTTGAGACAGAGTCTCACTCTGTCACCCAGGCTGGGGTGCAGTGGCGCGATCTCAGCTCACTGCAACTTTCACCTCCTAAGTTCAAGCGATTCTCCTGCCTCACCCTCCCGAGTAGCTGGGATTACAGGCGTCCTTCACCACATCCCACTAATTTTTGTATTTTTACTAGAGACGGGGTTTTACCATGTTGGCCAGGCTGGTCTCAAACTCCTGACCTCAGGTGATCTGCCTGCCTCAGCCTCCCAGTGCTGGGATTACAGGCATGAGCCACCGCGACCGGCTCAATTCTCTCACTTCTTTTTCTCCTGACAACCTTTGCCACCTCTCACCTTTCCGAGTCCCTGGTCCCTGTCTAGCTGCTTACTCACCAGCCCACATGAGCAACACCACCACAATGATGACCACTTCCCCAGTCTGCAGTGGTCGCTCTCCATCAAGACCCTCCCCTGTGATGTCACCTGAGAAGGGAGAAGGCAGACTCCAGGTTACTGGGGAGTAGCTCTCTGTGCAGACATAGGGAGGATGGAGATGCTGGGGATTAGAGAGGGCAGACCCGTCATAATGTTGCCCTTGGAGTGTAGGGTAGCCTCTCCCTGGGAGGAAGCCATTGGTGGACTGGTGGTTATCGACCAAAAAGCAGATGGCTGCAGGTTAATTACTCACCCATGCAGGCTGCAGCTGATGTGAAGTTGGGTAACAGGAAGCTTAAAGCCCTTCCCCGGAGCGACTCAATACCAGCCTGTCTATACCCAGTCCCCTTCCCATCTGCTTTTCCTTCCTTTCCTGGTAGTACAATGAATTAAATCATCCTATTCACCTCAGCTGGACTGTTTCTTGTCTTGGGGAAGTAAGTGAGAGGCTGCAAGCCGGGTAAGCAGCCAGAGAATCCAGTAGCACAGACCCTCACCTGGGCCTGAGCTGTTTGAAGGTAGCTGGTCAGAACCCTTGAGAGTTCGGAAGTGCACCCGGGGCCCTGGGGGGCTCTCTCCCCGAAGGCCGATGCTCCTGATCTGCACTGTGTAGTCATTGTCTTCAGCCAGGCCCCAGAGGGCATAAGCCCGGGTGGTGGTGTTCACCTCCCGAATCACACGCTGCCCGGGGCCATTCTGCCGCTGCAGGGAGATGAGGGGAGAGGAGGACACCCTCAACCCAGTGCCAGGCCACAAGGCTCAACCGAGACTCTTCAACATCCAAGCACTCCGTGGGAGTAGCGTGAAAAGGGCAGCCTGAGCCAGGGTAGCCTGCTTCTAGACCCCTCCACCTAAATGAAGGAATGTGCAGAAATCCAAGGACACAGGTTGGGGGAGCAGAAGGGTGATTCATACTTACTGGGAAATGGAGTAGCCAATGACGATGTTGCCTTCTGGGACGTCCCAGGACACAGTGGCCGAGTTGGCTCTGAGGTGAGTGACCGTCACATTCACAGGAGAGGGAGGCCGGTCTGCAGGAACCGGGTGTTAACAGGTTCACCCACTGACTAGCTCTGGTGGCCCCTCAGCCCCATTCTCCTTTACTCACCTGCTCGCACAAAGCCCAGGTCACAGCTGACCAGCAGGAGGACCGTGGGGCTTAGATATGGGGAAAGGGGCATCAGCGAAGCCATGTCCCCACCGAGTCCGCTGGGGGGGGGCTCTGGGGCATCCGCTTGACATCCAGGCGGGGCTCCTGGAGGTGGCAGGAGTTGTGGGGGGTCAAGGACTGCCCAGAACGCACGGGGGGAGGGGTAGCAGCTCTCCTGGGCTCCCCACAGCTCACAACAGCCCTATTTTCCCCGCGTCCTCCCGCCCCCTCATTGCCCGGGCGCCCCCAGAGCGCGGTCAGCCCTGCCCACACCCACCTCCGCTGGTCCTCGCGGTCGGTCAGGCCTCCGGGGACTGCTCGGTGCCCAGAGGGCGGCCCATCGCCCAACTCGGTGGCGCTGCCCCTACCCCATCCTGGCGCGGGCCGGGCGAGGCGGGCAGCGTGGGGCCGAGCTGCGGGCCGAGAGGGCGCGGGTCTGCGGAGCCCCCAGAGCTCAGGCGGGCGGGGAGTCTGTCCCGGAGCAGGGGGCGTTGCCCGGACGCTGGCCTGGGTCCGCCGTGCGGGAGGCAGTGCGGCGGCCTCCGCCCGCCCCTGCAGCGGGATGTGACCGTCCCGGAGAGCCAGCCGCCTTCTGCAGCGCTGGCCCCGCTCACTCCGCCGCAGCCCGACCGGGACGCGCGGGGACAGCTGGCCCGCCCCGCCCCGCCGGGGTTCTGGCCGCCGTCAGTCCCCTCCAGCCCCCCACCCCCGTCCTCTCGGGGCTCCTCCCACGACCCTCCCAATGGCGCCTCCGGGGCCCCCATCCCTTATCCCTTCTCTCTCCCAGCTCAGGCGGAGGAGCCGGCGGGGGCGTCGGGGGAGGCTCGGGGGCGAGGGTCTCCTGCACCTGGGAGATCCCCTTCCTCCCCGCGTGGAAGAGCCAAGTTGGGAGGAGGAATTCCACCTCCAGTGCCCGGGGGGCTAAGAGGAGAGGGGACAGAGTGTTGGAGATAATAATTGCTTTAACAATCCCTTACTTATAGACTGCGTCAGCTTTTAAGTCTCTTTCCCGTTCATAATCTGATTTCATTCCATTCGCTTTCTCATTCATTCTTTGATTTATTCAGCAAATATTTATTGAGCGTCTCTTCTGTATCTAGTTAAAACCTGCAGATACAGAGATTGTTAAGAGTGTTGGGCTTCTAGGGAGACTCAAAGCTCAGAGACCTATGGCTTTTTAAAAAAAATTATTATTCCTTTCTTTTTGTCTTTTTTGTTTGTTTTGTTTTGTTTTTTGTCTTTCTAAAGCTCTGCCACTTATGGTGTGGTTTTGGAGAAACTGGTTTATCTGTGCTGCAAAGCAAAGTGAAATGAAAAGCAAAGCAAGTGAAACCTCACAGGGTTGTTGTGAGGCTCAAATGAGACAATGTTGGGGAACGGTCTTTATAAATCTCACAACACTGTGTGAATGGATGATGATTGTAAATTTGCACCAATTTTTTGGTTACTTCCTTTGTTCAATAAGCATGTAAGCCCTTACATTATTTCATGCTTTGGTTGAGCTTGAAATCTGGAGTGAGAACCTGAGTGAGTGCCAATTTGTCCAGCTATGTGATCCTAAGCAACCAGCTCAACTACTCTGAGCCTATTTCATCATCTGAAAAATGAAGGTGTCAATATTGACCAACATCTTCGTGTTGGTGTATCCCATGAGATACTGTCTGTGAAAAGTGTGTTGTTCAGTGTAAATAGATGCTGGCTAACATTGGTTTTAGGGCAGATCCTTTGGTTTCTAATTCTCCATGCAGTATTTCTGTCTCTGTGGCATTTTTCCAGCTGTAATATTCAGTGTGTGCACACTTGGGGCTCAGAAGCTTCTGCTACCTTCCTTTCTGAGAGGAGAGGGTAAAAGGGAACCAGTGGGACTTTGCCTGTGGAGCATGTGATCAAGTCATGGGCCAGGTCCTCTGACTTCTGCTGACCTATAGACTCTGATCTCTGGCCTCGGAGGACACCTGCCCAGGGATTCTCACTGCTCTGTGTGTTGTCCTGCACTCCCAGGCTCTAGGTCCTCCAGAGAAGAGGGCATTGTCCCTGTAGGGCAAGAGTCACGAGCTTCAGGTCTTCCTCTTCAGGGGCCAACGCAGAGGCTGGGGAGTCAGGGTGAATGCAAAGAGGAGTTTCCCTGAGGTTACCAGAGGGCTGGGGGCCTAGTGACCAGGAAAGGGTGGTACAGGCGGTGATAAGGGGCAGGGGGTGCCCTGAGAGCCCAGGGTGCTTGGATTAATCATCACCGTGGCTCAGGTAAGGCCCTGCCAACTGGAAGCAGAGTCACTGTGAACAGAGGGGTTTGTGCGGCTGAAGAGGCAGGCAGAACAGTGTAGCCACAGCGCGGGACCATGCCGGCCACAAAACGGTTTCAACATGTCATTGAGACCCCAGAGCCTGGCCAGTGGGAGGTGAGACCCCTTCTCCATGTTGGCTTTCCGTGCTGATTCCTAGAATTATTTTTCATCCAGTCTTCCCTCCACCCTGGGTTTCTGCTCACCTCTTTTTCCTTCCTGATGTTCTTTCCCTAATATGCCCAGAGTAGCAAGTGCAGGCTGAGTTTCCGGTGTGATGTGTGTGTGTGTGTGTGTGTGTGTGTGTTTGTGTGTGTGTGTGTCCAAACTCTGTGCCTGCTGCCACTCCCACCTCCAGCTCAGCAGGCATGAATGAGGCTGTGGCTGCCTGCTCCTTCCTTGT